AATGTAAAATTCATATCAATCTGTAATCTTACCTGTTAGTTTTCTTTAAAAAATAAAACAAAGAATTTGCTTACCTGCAAAAACAAAGTAAAACAAAATTAACATGACAATTAAAAGAGATAGACTAAAAAAAACACGAATGAAATACTGGTTTGTTACATATTGATTTACAGGTGAAAGAAATATAAAAATTATTTAAAATATTTAAAGGTTAATTACATTTCTAATGTATTTCCTAAATTGTCTGCATTTCTTCATGATTAACAAGGCATTTCTTTTAATTTAATTTGTTGAAAATAATTAAATGAATGAAAAATTAGAAAAGAAATCCTTATCTATACAATTAGCTATTTATCTAACAGATGATATGGCAGATATATTTTTTATACAAAATATATTAAAACCTTTAGTCACACTAATTATTATGACATACAATAATGAAGCAAATTCTGACAGAAAAAAAGCATTTAATGAAATAATTACTGTTGTATTCTATCACCCATTGCACTTAGAATTTTTTTTTAATCATTCCACCCCAAATAAGGTAATAAAACTACTAAGATGCTATGGGTTACTGAGTATGTGAGAATATGAGAAAAAGAAAAAAATTATTAAAGAGTGAGAACAATAAAAGAACAGGAATTAAGAAGACAGCAGATAATGATTGACATTGCATTTAAATTTCTGAAAAAAAATTATATATACAAGTATATAATCGGTACATATGGAATGAATTCCAATAACCAACAATTACTATTCTTAAAAGAGTGCTCAATACAAATTAGAGCAGATATAATTATTTTTTATAAAAAAATTATAACATAAGTATGTTATAAAATCACTACAAAAATAGCCATTTTGTTTCAACACACTCTGTGTCTTATCAAGTGATGATGTTGAAAATAAAACACAGAGTGTGTTGAAACAAAATGGCTATTTTTGTAGTGATTTTATAACATACTTATGTTATAATTTTTTTTATAAAAAATAATTATATATATATATATATATATATACACACACACACACAAACACAGGTAAGATGAGAACAAATGAAGTATATTTCACTGTCCATAATATTTCATTTAAAAGAGTGTGTGTTTGTGTGTGTGTATATATATATATATATATATATATATATATATATACACACACACATTCTAGAAATAATATTACTTTGTGTATATAAATTCTGGATAATATATTAATGTGTATATACATGCGGGAAATGTTTATTATTACTGCCTACTGACCTTACTACTAATCTACCAATCCCAAGCTATAAACATTTTCTCTCCTAACAAACTATTTCTGGTTGTCAGGAAAAGCCAGTGAATTTTCACAATTTTAACCTAAAATTCATTTGAGTATATTTCTAATCTTTATCAGTATTCTTTGCATTGAAAGAAAGTGATTGTCAGTGGTCAGGAAAGAATACAAACAATACTGACAATATATGATTATTATATGTATAACATAAATGTATTATAAATGATTATAATAGAGAGAAAGATTAAAAACTGGAAAAAAGTGCTAGTCAGTGGTCAGGAATGAATACAAGCATTATGGCCATAAGACTATTATGTGTATAACATAAATACATTGTCATTGATTTTGTAATAAAGATACAGAAAAAAAAAATCAAAAAAAGGAGTGCCAATGGTCAAAAATTAATGCAAGCCGTGCTCATAGAATGCGGTTATTTACATATAATTTAAATGTAACTTTATTTTTCTTTATACAGAAATGTATTGAAAATTAGGAAGAAAAAGATATCAGTGACCAGGAATTGAAGGCAAGCATTTCAAGTGAAGTTTCTATATAAATGCTTTGAAAATTATAGCAAAAGGAAATATCAATGGTCAAGTATTAAGGCAAATGTGACTGAAAAAAAACTATAAATCCAAATGCAATGTTAAATATAGAAATGTACTGAATATCAGGAAAAAATGGATTATCAGTGGTCAGGAACTAATGCAAGTCTTACTGATAGAATCAGGCTATTGTATATATAATGTAAATGCATGTATAGAAATGAACAGAAATATATTGTCAGTGGTTGAAATTGACAAGCTTTACTGATCTAGGCCTAAAAAGGTGGACTTATAGGCAGAAAATGAAAATTAAATGAACCAGACTAAAGTAAAAATAAGAAAGAGCGAATATTAAGAGATGAATCTATTGAAAATAGAATGATGGAAAATTAGAAGCAAATGTTCCACCAAACCAGAACATTTATTTTGAGAAAATAGAGAAATCTAACCTGAGAAAATTTGATCAGATATTTAATGCAGTACAGTAAAATATACTGTAAAAAAACTGAATATAAAACAAGCTAAAAACCTATAAAATTTAATTATAGTGACTCACTATTAAGTGCAGAAAATTATTTGAATGTAGATATTGAAAATTAGATTCTGTTGAAAACTGTAACTAACTGAATAGTTTTATTCATTTCAGAACAACCATAACTCAAGAGGAGTAACATTCTTCCCTGTCAAACAATTTATTAGATTCACAAGCAGTAAGTACTTGTATGAAAATCCAATTTACCAGCAGAGTTTAAAATTTCTCAAAAGTTGGAGACTTGATCTGGCATAAAATCTCCACTATTTTTTCTCTTCTTTTTCAATTTCTGACCATATAAAATAGTGATTTGGGCACCTTGAGGCAGTGTAATGGTTAGCAATCTTGTCTCGCTAGAACAATTATGACTGAGTAGTGAGTTCGATCCTCACTGGGTGCCCCCTACTTTAGGCCTTGCGCCGCATGTAAACTACGCTTGGAAAATCACCATAAAATAGTGATATGTCTGGGAAAGGGATATATTTGTTCGAAGTAGCAAAGTGGTTTTGGACTACTGTAACCATAATGGACTGGTCCTCGTCGTAGTGGTAGGCAATAGGCGGAGACAATAAGCGTAGTCAATAGGCGTCGTCCTCAATCTGTATTTATGGCTGACACCAGCCAATCATATTACTGTGAGGGGGAACCCAGGTGTATGCATATTCATTACATTAAATAGTGATTTGCAATTGGACTAAAATCCACCTATCCAAGACAGAATAATTACAATTTATTCTTAATACTACTCACAAAAATGCTACTTTTCACATAGCCTTTTTGCTTGATCTAAAACCACTTCCTATTTACAGATTTTATATTTATTTTATATGGCAACACCCATTATACATTTGTCATTGACATGTTTTATACAATTGTTGGGTAGCATGTCTGGGAGCAAGTTTATCGTGAAATGAAGAAATAACCTACCCACCTCCGACCTTATTTCTCTTTTTTAGCATAGATCTGACTTTTGATTGGTTAATCTGGACATACCCACAAGTATAATTTTAACTCTGTCCTTATACACCCCCAACATAACTTTCAAAAAGAGGTAACAATCTGTTTTTAAATTTCCCAAATAAATCATTTTTATCACAAGTTATCTACCATCGACTGACAAAATACAATCATTGTATTGAAATATGAAAGCTTTTGAGTAGCAATGTAAAATGTTTTTATTATAATCTATTATAATAAAAATATTATAAGATTTTATATTATAATTATTTGTAAATGCTAATTATCATTAAGCTTCATTATTAAAGTATCATTACTAGTATTTCACTATTGCTGATAGAATAGAGTGTAGACAAGTCAAGTATCCTTTCCTGCATCTTCCTCCTATTTTCTTATTAAGAGAACTAGAAGAAATGATTCTGCAATTTGTAGTTAATAGATATAGTGTTATCTTCTTTGGACAGACATTTTTTATGTTAGTTTATACTTATTTAAAAATTACTTGGAAAAGGGTGGCCTGAATAAATTTGAAATTTCTTTACTCCCCAAGTTAGAACAGTGTACCAGTACTGCACTAGCAAAAGTTGTGTTACAATGTACCGTTTTTGCATACAAATCAATGTAAATTGGATCATTATAATATAGGATCTTTTTTTCCTTCTTTTCCATATTTTTGTCTTCTATTTTTAAAATAGTGATTAACATCACATATTTGAAATCAGAATTTTTTAAATAAAAAGGTTGCACTAACATGAGTCATCAAAACCATATATGCAACAAAAATTAAGGTTAGACAGAGAAAATCTGAGACAGACATGTTTTTTTTTTAACCTGAGAGTGTGAGAGGATTCTTCTCTCATATGCCAAATATCTTCAGGACATTAGCAATCATGGCTCTCCACAACTTCCTGTCTTTTGTTTCTCTAAGTAACTTTTGACCTTTTACCATTCTTCTTTGTCCCTGTTCTGCCATCCATTCAGACACACACTTAAGTAGATTACTTACTAATTCCTCTTGCTTTCAATATATCCTGTGAGTGTTAAATTATCTAGTCCCACTCTCCTCAGGACTAGGTTTACTTTATACATTTTGATGCCAGAGGATATTTTGACAATTTTAAGAAGTGTTCATTCTTTTGTAACAATGGTAAAATGTACAAGATATTCTTTCCATTAGAATTCAATTGAAGTTAAAAAGGACAGGATTAGTTTCCATTTACAGTTTTAAAAATGGGCTGTACCACTTGTCAAAGGTTAGTTACCCTTTATATGCTCATATATATAGTAATTTCTAAATTAATTTTTCAATTCAACATTTTTTCTTATTACTTTGACTTCCCGTGGGCAACTTTGTAATGGCATGCTTCAGCTATAGGAGGTTTCCTCAAAGGAAAAAGTGAATACAGGTTCAATTACTGTCAGGAGACACATTTTTCTTTATTGACTGATGAATTAATTTTCTGGTTATTTAAATCCATAAAATATTTTTAGATTGTACTTTCTTTTTTTTTGAGATAATAATAGTTTAGTCATACAAGTCTTACTAATTAACTCATAAATGGAAGGGAAGGTGAGTTCATACTTTTCCCAAGGGTATTTACACATAAGTGAATATAACAAACCCAAGGGAATTTGAAGTTGGCTCACTGATTAATAAATCTGAGCCATTATCCATTATACTACCTGTGCATCCAAGTTTACAGCACCTAGTATTCCCAAACGGTCACTCATCTAGGTACTGACTAGGCTCTATCTTGCTTAACTTTGGTGATAATATGGGAACCAATGTTTTAAAGTGTTGTGGGCATAAGCCACATTTTTCTTCAGTAGGACTTCTCAATCTAGGCCAGTTGGTATTAATTTCACTGCTTAAGAAAATAAAAAACAAGCATGTCAGCTCATATATATCTTTTGCTAAATATGACAAAGAAAATTTAATTATTTTTTTTTATTTAGTTTTTCCAGCGTTTTTCCATTTTTCCATTTAGTGGGAGTAAGAGAGTGCAAAAATTGTCCTTTGTCCATTGTCTCAAATGCTTCCGACTTCTTCAGCCATTTTCAAGGGGGTTTGTTTTCAGGTGGTTCTCTTCATGTTTTGGCTGTTTTTGTACTCCCTTACTCCTACCAAATGGAAAAATGTAAGAACTCTGGAAAAATTAAATAAAAAATGATTTAAATTTTCCTTTTCTGCCATATTTAATGAAAGATGTTTAAAAGAAAGGTTGCTGCCCAAATATATATATATATATATATATATATATATATATGTGTGTGTGTGTGTGTTAAAGTTCTCAGAATAAATCTGTAGAGAAGACAAATTGAATAAAATAGACAATAGGAAAATAGTACTTAGTCCTCAGCAACGTGTTTCATAATTTGACTTTATCAAGACAAGTGATGATAAACAAAAACTAAATGTTGTGCAGTTACATGAAATTCATGTATATATATATATATATATATATATATATATATATAGAAAAAGTTTCAAATTAAAAATTATAATGTTTTATTTTATGAAAGTATTTATTTATTTATATATATATATATATATATATTTTTTATTTTCATATACTTTCATAAAATAAAACATTATAATTTTTAATTTGAAACTTTTCTATATATACATATTAAGAAAGTATATGTGGCTTCTCATTATGCTATATATATATATATATATATATATATATATATATATATATATATATGTTTGAGTACTGCAGATGTAATAATTGAACAAATGCACTATAAGAGAACTGGAAGGAAGACTGTTATGCCAATCTACCAAATGGGGAGGGTTTGCACATTGCAAATCAATGTTAAATATTCTGTTTTTTCAGCATTTGAAGATGAGTGTCAACGGGAAATAATCAAATATCTCAGCCACTAAGCATGGTTATAAAAATATTACTCACCTAAGTATAATCTAGTACATGATCACATGGGGAGGCAGAAGAATGTGTTGTGCTAATTTTCTAAATGTAGAGAGCCTGCAGATTTTGAAAATCAAGGTTCAGTTAGAAACCATTGGACAGGTAGTTTATTTAGCCATCAAACTAATACTTACAAGTGATAGTAAGTTTGCAGTTAAAACATTAAATAAAATTAAAAAAAAAATGGTATTTGTTGGATTTTTGATAGTACTGTAAGTTTTAAATCTAATGTGAATTTTAAATAATTCATATCAGACATCACATTTAGTAAACCTCTACCATAAGTAGATTTTAAGCCTTTTATTGGGTGAGCTTTACTATAAAAAAAGAAAAATTCAACCATTTTGTCCTTTATATTTCAATATATTGAATCATTCCTCATTATCTTTCATTTCATGTTTTTATTTTTATTTTCTAACTTTTCTCACTACTCCTGTCTTTCTTCCTTTCAATTCTCACTCTTTGTATTTATACTTTCAGTTTCTCTTCTCACTGACTCCATTTTTATCGCCCTCCCTCTCTCTCTTCCTTCCTTTGTTCATATCTTTTATTTCTTAACTTTTTTCTTTTTTGTCTTTCTTTCAGTCTTTTTCCATTATCTTTTTCTCAGTCTGCTCAGATGTATATACCATTCTACCATAGTCAACTTTTATCTATTTCAGTCTGTTCCTATCTTTTTAAGCCTGTATCTATAAAAAGAATACCCGCTCGGCCCGGTGGCTAGGATCAAAGTGTAGTATCTGTGCTTTGTGAGCTGCCGAGCTGGTGTCTGTCGAACTCTCTGCTTGCAGAGGGAACCCGGACGAAGCTCCGCCGAAGGGTGGGGTTTCGTTCGGGGAGGTTGACGGAACTAGCCTGCTTGGACGGGTTTAGATGGGTTTTATTTTGGCTGGGCCTACGGGCTCAGACATACCCACATTAAAAGGCCTTGTGCCACATTCAATTCCTGTGGGTGAATTGATAAATACCATCTTTTAAGCCTGTTCCTATTTTTCCTCTCCTTCTCAGTATATATGTATCTATCTATCTGCTTCTGTCTATTCATTTCAGTCTGCTTCTATTTATCTGTCTATCTATCTATACTTACCAATCTCAATTTGCTTATAACTTTTTATCCCTCTCATCTTTTTATTAGTCTATCCAGCTTATCTCTTTCTCTGTTTATCTCAGTAGCAGGTACCTGAGATTTGTATTTAAACCTCAGAAAAATTTGTGTAATATAATCTTCTTTTCCCACTACTAGCAGCAGTACTTACAAAATCTGCAATACTTGACAATGTGGTCACACAAGCCTCACACCTACAACAACAGTACATTAGAAACCTAACTTTGTTATTTTAACTGTTTATGAAATATCACAAGAATTAAAAATTAAAAGCTAAGCCAATTAATTTAATGTCTAATAAATAAATTAAGATTTAAAGAAAAGGACTATTCAATTTTCCTTGATCATCAATGTATTTCGTGGCTGAGAGGTCTAAAGCAGATTCGAATCCCGCCAGAGAGTGCATTCTTTAAGTTTAATTCTTTTAATTTCCCGATATTCAGGTCAGTAGACGAAAATAAAAGAGTCTACTGTTTAGTTTAATAAATAAATGGAGCATCTACTCAAATTTAAGCATCCACTAAAGTAATATTTCAGCAATAAAATCTGTCGAGTTAATTTATCAGAAAGAACTTAAAGTATAATTATTTACAGATTAGTCACAATTTTTTACTTCCGTTGCCCCAGGTGAAAATATATGAAAATAATTCAACATATCAGATATTTAAGGTTTTTGTTCAAGTGAAAAGCATAAGTACACTAATACTTTAAAAATAAAAATCTTGAAAAATTGCTAAGTTTTGTCCACAGATCAAACAAACTATAGAAAAACTTTTCCGTCGTTTGAAATTAATGAAAATAGAAGATAATGGGAAAAAAATATATATTTTGTTAAATGTGAAATCAAGGTAGATTTAATGAAAACAAACAATTCCTTCATAGAGAGAACTATAAGTAGGAAGAACATTCCTTGATTATTTAAAATGGTATATTTAACCATGTGCTCATTAAACCGGTTTTCAGATTTTTAAAATGGAAAATAATGACGCAATGAAGAGTTACTCCCCTTTATTTATCATCGCTTTTTCTCTTTTAAGTGCTGAATTCGTTTTCAGTTCTTATTAAATGTCCTTTCAAAAATTTATGCGTGTGTGACTGTGTATTGGGAGAAAGATAGGAGGGAGGTGAGCATGTACATAAAAGACATGTATATATACATAGATATGATATTTACATACAGATAAGTATAATTGCAAAAATAAAATTCTTTTAGGTAATTCATATTATTTTTCCTTAGGATCTGTAATAATAACGATTATGTTTTAAAAAAGAATTTGAGGAGTGGGTCATTATATACAGAGATGAATCTATAAAAGAACTGAACAAAAATATTTCATTAAGCATAAACTAGCCAATTATGAAAATATACAATTACTGAACAAACGAAAATAAGACCCGTTATTTTATAAGTTTCCTGCAGATACTTGAACAAAACGTGCGCTCATGTGTGCGTGTGTGCGTACACATCCATGACATCACATACTGGATATATTAAACAGACAAGTCAAAATTTTCATTCACTCTAATGGTTACTTATATACTGGCACAGCAAATATTAAAAGCATGTATAGGAATTCCATAGAAATTATTTCATGATCGAAATGTTACAAATCATGTAAATACTCTGTTTATAATACATTAGGCAGTATTTATCAAACAAATACTTTAAAACTTTTATTCACTCTAATCATCATATATACAGTGAAACATTTTCTGAAGAATAAAAGCATTTTTACTTTTTAATCAAAGATATTTTCATATTTTTTTTAATATTATAACACTCTTCCTCAGTCTTTTGAACAGGAATAGAGGTTTATCTCTAGTTTCCTGTTTAGGATTGGGTTTCCGGTACCTTCTAAAGTTTTCTCATTCTCTTTCACGCCTAGTAGCCACTTGCATCTTAATGGCATTATTGCCTTGCTTGGGAGTGAATTGATTAAAAAAAAAATATGCCAGATAAAAAAAATATGAATAAAAAACTGATACACCTTTCAAGAAAATCTGAATGTGTGAATGTGCTTTAAAGGCAAATAGAATCTTGCTTGATCATGAAGCTATTTGTGGCCGAGCAGTCAAAGTATGCTTGATCAGATGATGGTTTCTCCTACAAAGGATGATGCAGGTTTGAATCCTGCCAGAGGACATATTTTCTTTAATAAGTTTGTGCAGGCCAGTAGACTAAATAAACAGTTTAAAATAAAGTGTCCATTCAAATATAGATATCCATTAAAATTTTTTAAAGTAATAAAAATATATAGTGACAGCACAAAAATGATCTTTTTCTTCTGTATACCGTGTGTTCCTTCAGGATGTGGATGATCATGACTCTCCACAATTTCCTATCCTTTGTAGCTCTTAGTAAAGTTTGTCTTTTTTGCTATTTCTCCAAACCCCTGTTCTTAAAAATATTTTATTTTATTTTATTTATTACTATCTCTTCTAGTTCCTATTCCATCATCCATTTACACAATCTTTTCAAGTAGGTTACCCACTGTTTTTCTCTGTCCCTCTTACCATCAATATATCCCGTGAATATCCAATTCTCTAAGCCCTCTTTTCTCATTGTGTTCTAGAAACTTCAACTATCTCTTTCTAACTAAGTATAAGTGTCCATTGTGTTTCTGCTTTCCTTAAAACTTCCTTGTTGCGTACATGCTCTGGCCATGGTATTCTCAGCATCTGTTATTGTTGCACGTATATATAGAAGCAAGGTTTTAGTTTTCCTTATTCTTGCCAACTGAATTTACTGCTACTCT